GGATAAATTTCAGAGAGACGGGATTTCGACCAATGGACTCTATATAGCACTTTAAATTGTATAAGTTGTAATCTAGCACATGGTGAGCTACGTATACTGTGAATCGCTCTATCCCATAGTTGATCTGTAAAGCTCAGACCCAGTTCCCTTTCCCAGGCATTCCGAACTTTGGTAGCTGAGTGATCATCAAATGACATCAACCATGCATATATATTAGAAATAAGAGAAGTCTGACTAGGTTTCAAGGTTAAAAGGTCATCCCATAGTTGGTTGACAGGAAGGGGCGGGAAACTTGGAAATACAGAAGAAGCACAATGTCGGAGCTGAAAGTAGCGAAACAAGTAGGAAGCGGGCAAATTAAAGCCCGACCTCAGATCTGAAAATTTAAAAAAGACACCATCCTTATAGAGATCTCTGAACTGTTTTATTCCTCGACTCTGCCAAATCGTGAAAGTGCCGTCTATAAGTGATGGGGGAAATAAAAGATGTTTTGTTATAGGCGTGAAAGGAGATGCAGATATAAATTTGAACTGGCGCCTAAACTGAAACCAAATTTTAAGGCTGGAAAGTACCACCGGGTTTCTCATGAGAGATTCAGTGGTAGAGAGGAGAAAAGTAAGGCTGTCAAGGAGGATGAAGTGAGTAATTGATCCTCTAGTTTGCACCACAATATACCTGGAGATTGATTTGATTTGATTCATTCTTTCAAACATGTAAAGACAGTCAATATGTCAACACACATAATTTCACACATATCCACAAATGCATTATCAGTTTGCTTAAACCTAGTACTTGAACGGAGTAGGAAGAAGTTAGACTTATCGAGTCCTACCCCATAACATCATCTTACCATCATTGGTTTGCAAGCAGTATTACTACATAGATAATTTTGTTCTACACCATGCTAGTGATATACTAAAAAATATTACAGATTGTTAACATTCTTACATAATGACATACTTTGATAATTATCTTCTACATCACACAAGTAGAAATATTACATAGTGTTAACATTCTTACACCACACCCTCAATGTTACACCTAATTAATCATTAAACCTGTTCTTGCATATATCTTGATTGACACATACTTTTATATTTACACCAATATATGAAATGTGAATATGCGCTGACCAGTAATACAATTGCAAATTAGGCAAAGCAAGACCACCACTAAATTAAAATTTTTGCAGAAGCGAATACCTCACCTTAGGGGACTTTCCTCCCCACAAGAAGGTGGTAACAAGCTGATTAATTGATTTGAAAAACTTTGGGTAAGAACAGTGGGATGCATTGAAACAAAAACAGAAACCTGGGCAGCAAAAACATTTTCACTGTGTTAATTCTACCCATCAATGACAAAGGTAAGGAATTCCACCTTTGTAGGTCTGCCTTAACTTGACTCATCAAATCCGAATTTGTGTAAGGTAGTAAACAGATAATTCCACTCAATACGGTCAAATGCCTTTTCAGCATCAATAGAAATAACTACTTGGGGACTGCAGAATGATTTTGGGGAAAAAAATCACATTTAAATAAAACCGTTTTGTTCCTCAGATATTATGGTGGGGAGAATCCTTTCTAAACAAGTTGCTAAGGCTTTGGCTAAAATCTTAACATCTGCATTCAATAATGACACTGGCCCATATGAGGTACATAAATCTGGATCCTTGCCCTTCTTCAACAGAAGGGTTATTGATGCCTGGGTCAAGGTTGGCGGAAGTGAGCCACGTTCAAATGATTCATTGTACACTGAAATAAGAAGAGGAGCAAGTTTATCTGCAATTTTTTTGTAGAATTCGACCCCAAATCCATTGGGACCCAGGGCCTTGCTGCTTTGCGTAGCTTTGATAGCCATTGCGATTTCTTGTAAGCTAAGAGGAGCCTCCAGCCCGTCAGGTATATCGGAGTCTACAGTTGGAATATTAAGGTTCTCAAAGAAGGAAGTCATTTCTACTGGTTCAGGTGGAGATTCTGACTTATATAAAGAAGAGTAATAGGATCTAAAAATCGCGTTGATGGTAATGGGATTAGAAGTAAGTGAACCGGTGGAATCCCTAATTGTGGGAATCAACCTGGAGGCTGCCTGCCTCTTTAACTGATGAGCTAATAATCTGCTCGATTTGTCTCCATTTTCATAATAGTTAGCGCAGGAGTGTAGCAAAATATGTTCTGCCGCCCTTGTTGATAAAAGGTCAAATTCTGACTGCAGATCAAGTCGTTGCTTCAGCAGATTTGAGGATGGATTAAGTGAAATTAACCTATCAACATCTGTTATTCTTAAAGTCAGCTCCTGTAGCCTTGCCTTGCGGACCTTATTGGAATATGCTGAATAAGACATTATTTGACCGTGTAAATATGCTTTCAGTGATTCCCATAATATTGAAAAACTGACAGTGTCATTCTTGTTCAGAGCAATAAAGTCATTATCGAAGTAAATATAAAGGCAGTAAATGCATCGTCAGTTAACAATAATGGGTTTAATCTCCAGGTCAAAGAAAAACAAGGCCGGTCAGAGAATTTTATATTTAAAGATAAGGGGGCATGGTCTGAGATAACAATTGAATGGTACTCAGAAGAAGTCACTCTGGGAAGAAAATAATTATCAACCAAAAAATAATCGATGCGGGAATATCATTGATGCACCTGTGAAAAAAAGGAACATTGCCTAGCCAGAGGATTAGAAAACCTCCAGGTCAACAAGCCCATTTTTACTCATAAAATCAGAAATGGATTCCAACATAGAGGACTGGGCTGAGAGCCGGGGGTTTGAGCGATCTAGAGAGGGGTTAATGACACAATTCAAATCTCCACCTAGTATCAAATGGTGAGTGTTTAGCAAAGGGAGTTTAGGAAATAAACCATTAGTAAAATTCAGATCATTAAAATTAGGTGCATATACGTTCACCAACAATACAGGGCAGTGGTAAAGAGTGCCCGCAACAATTAGATACCTTCCATTTTTGTCTGCTATTATCTTAGAGGCGAAGAACATAACTCTTTTACTAATCAAAATTGCCACTCCTCTGGCCCTAGAGTCAAAATTTGAATGAAAAAAGTTGCGTATCCATGGACGGCTAGGTCTAATTTGATCCCTATTGCGCAAGTGAGTTTCTTGGAGAAAGGTTATATCAGCTTTTAAAAGCTTCAAATGTGAAAATACCTTTGATCGCTTAATTGGGTTATTCACACCTTTAACATTCCAGATCTGATGTCTGATCCAGCACCTGTACAATATGAATTGTTATCGTTCATCTACAACACTGCTTGAAAAAGGGGGTATAAATATCTAACCCCCCTATGACTATGGCACGGGGACGATCCCCTGGTTTGGGCTTCGGCAAAAGAGACCGGTGTGCCCTGTCAATCAGCAGCTCTTTATCCAGTTTAAAGGGTTCCATTAGAAACCTGGACACACCGGCTGCTGACAGGGAGGCAGGGTTGTCTTCCGAACACCAATAATCCGTATATTCTGACGTCAAGCTGTGGACTCCAAATCCTCACATTTGTTGTCCAGCCTCTCACATTCTCTGGATAAATGTTCAACTTTTCCCCGAAGAACAACGATGTCATCCGCACAGGTGGAGAAAGACTGCTCCATCTCGTTGACTGTGACTTTAAGTCCCGTGACATCCGACTTCATGGATGAAATGCTGCCAGATAATTCAGTTTTAAGAGCTAGCAGCTCCGATTTTATAGATGTTAAATTATCTCCCAATGCTGCTTGAAGCTCTGACTTGAATATCGCTGCAACATCATTACGTAGGGTCGAGAGAAGTTCCGACTTGAGATCGGCGACGTCTACAGTAGACAGCAAAAAGTGGGAAGTCTCCACCAGCGGAGCGGAATCACTATGAGGCGTGGGTGTATCAATATCACCATGAGGCGTGGGTGTATCAATAACAGCAGGCCGCAAGCAAGCCTGCGAATTAGCCTGTGAATTGTTCCCGGTTCTAGCATTCTTAGAGGCATATTTTAAGTAGAAAGCCAAGTTAGCCGATTAAAAAAAAAAAAGATTAGTGCGACCCTAGCCCGTATGGTGAGGTAAATAGTGCCCCAAAGTAAAAAAAAAAAATCAAACTCTGTAGGAGCTCCACTACGCATGTCTCACTCCATGTGCCGCTAAGCCGGAAGTCAGTCTACTTTTGACATTTTGCTTTCACCCCTATCCCAACCACACCTGCATATCATAAACTGGGGGTTTCACGTGGGAACAGGTGGTCAGGCAAGGGTTTCATACATCTAAGAATTATATTAGGGTTTCCTTAGCAACAGGTCTGACTCCCAGCACCATCCAAACTACAGTATGTTATACACACAAGGAATCTGTCTCGGGTACAGAACTGAAGCAGCCATCCGTGCACCAACTCACATGCACACATACACCGATGATGGTGCTGTCCCCTGCAGGGCACTACTTTGACCCCAATGGCCACTCGGAGTCAACTTGACGCTCGGTGTCCTGCCAGCACCGTGAATTGAACCTCCAACCTGCTCTGCCCCTGAGTCATAACTGCCCCACAAGGAGCAAAACAGCCATAAATGTATATCTACATGTGTAATTTGTTTGTGAAACTCTGCAGGTACAATAGCTCCAATACTTCTCAGGCTCAGGCTGATATTGTGGAACTAATATTAAACTGATAAACATGAAATTTCATAGTTAAATTTTTCTGAGTGAATTTATGACTATAACATGCCCCACCTTATTCCAACAAATTTTTGTTTGAGACTGACAACTGAGCCCTTCTGTCTGTGATGTTACAAAAGTTTATAAAGGTTCCTGCTAGATCAGCCATGAAGAATTGAGGGAAAAGTGAAGAAAGGAAAGGCTAGCTTAAGAAAACAGCAAGACCTGGTTGTCAGGGGTTCAAAGTAGGAACCGAGCAACTGAACAGATGAAAGAAAACCAGGAGGTTATAAAGGGCAATATGCCATCTATATGGGGAGATGAAACATAGTGACAGAGCACAAAGAGGTGATGGTGGTGGTGGAAAGTACCTGGTGATGTCCAAGTCAGGGAACAGGCTTAAGTGATAGTTTGGGAAGGGGATGGAGTGGAGGAAGCTTTTTTCACTCTCCACTGGGGAATAGTGTCGGGGAGAAGGTGCTTTGTCACATAGTTTGTTCACAGTGCTGTAAACTGGCTCAGCAGGCCTATGGTGAAGTGAAAGACAAGAGTAGAGAGGTTAGTGTCCAGAGACAGAGCTGGGATGAAGGGAGTGGGACTGATGACAATGAGACACAAAAAAAGAAAAACAAGAAGAATAAGAGAAGTATGAGATCTGGTAGAGAGACGAAGTACTGTTACAGTATGGTGTAAATGGTATCTGGTTCTTGATAGTCAAAGTATAAAACCAAATTTGTCACATTTTAGAAGGTGAAACCAGAGGGTGTTTGGCATTTAGCTAGATAAATAAGATAGGCTAGAATTAGACTGTAGATGCCAGGAATTTCTTTTGCTACCATACAAGGTATGTCAGAAAAGTTCCAGGACTGGGGTCACAAAAATTTATTACAAAAAAAAATTATACAAACTGCAGGTTTTCCCTATTGAAGCAATCCTCCTCGAGTCTAACACACATTTCCATCCTGGTCCACCACACCTCCATGCACTCCTGGAAGGATTCTCCCAGGATTCTCTGCAGCTCCATCTTCACGGCCCTCTTGATGACTTCCATGTCTGGAAAACGGGTCCTGGAACTTTTCTGGCTGATTCTTTGTGAAGACTGTATCATATTATGATGCTGTAGTATATATGTGCAATTTTCACCTGAGCTCATTTAGTAAATCGCCTGAACTGGGAAACTCTTGCGTTCTTCTAACTTCTTCTAACATCCATATACAAAAATCACCTAATTCCTTTCAGATATGTCACGTTGCAGTGGTATTGCTATTACAAATATTACTTACTTAAAACAAAACTTCAGTTTTGAGAATTCATTTCTGTTATTAAATGAACTCTGTGGCACAAAGTTGATAGAGATGTACATCATAGCCATAGTTACAGTCACAGATACAGCATTTTGGTTAGACAAGGGGCTCTTTCCTGCCAGTGCAATTCCTGAAAAGCTACAAATGCTGTCATTATCCTGTTGTCCTCAGGTGCATTTCTATTTTTTTGCACATTGCTGTGTTTGGTATATTCCTGTCATAAATGAATGCACTTATGCTGAGATGGGAAGAGAGGTGCAGCGGAGGCTGTTTTTATACATTCATTCATGGCAGCAAAATATATAAATAAATAAATAAAAAGACTTGCACCCAAGAAAAACAGTATAAAGACTGTGTTTAAAGCTGAGCCTGCTTTCTACAGGCAATAAAATTGTTTTAATTTAAAATTTCAAAATAATTAGCAAATATAATGCATTTAATCTGTTGGCATGTTCACCAGACAGGTGACCTGTTAGAGACTTTTTAAGAACAAACAAACTTCCTCTTTAAAAGGTTCCTGCTGTTTTTCTTAAATGTACTCAGTGGGAACCAACTTATGTGAACAGGAAATCTATTTTGAAGAGCAATTCTTTGCAAAAAATCAAAAAAGACATGATGATTAACATGCAAGGGCATGCAGGACATGACTGAGCAAACTAAATATCTCACCTCATATGGAAGTGCTGGGGATCAAACCTGTGACCCTCCCCATCATCTAGCGAGGGATTTCTAATAGGATGAAAAAAGTTAACATTTGATAAATCAACCTTTGTGAGTTTTCATACACTGATCAAAGAAACATTTGGAGGCATGCTCCACAGAACAAAATAAAACACACAAGAAAGCCATGTCCTTCAAAGTAGTGATTCGAGTATTCCATGTTAAGAGGCTGAAGGACAAAGGACATTCTTTTGAGGACAGTGAAGTCCATATCTTCTCCAGAGAACATCGCTGGTCTAAGAGAGGAGTTAAGGAAGCTATTTTTGTAAAAATAGAACACCCCTCACTAAATAGGGGTGGTGGACTAAGACACAACTTGTCTTCCATCTACAATCCTGTTTTGAGATCTCTGCCCAAAATATGCCCACCAGGACAATAGGCGTCGGTCGACAGGGGAGGGCTCAAAGACATATAATGACTCTCACTGATACTTGTCACGATTCGGTTGCGCTGTTTCCTGTCAGGCTTTTATTTTGATTCTACTTCCTGTTTTGTTTCACCATAGCTTAGGTCTTTTTTACTTTCTTCCTTACTCAGATTAGTTTCACCTGCTCTTTATTACCTGCACCTGTGTTCACCTCTATTTAGGCAGCGTCCTCCCACAAGGAC